GATCGTAAAAAGTGGCCAATTTTTTGCATTCTTTAAGGCATCTTTCGCCATCTACAAGCTTGATGCAGACGTCTCATGACCGCCAAATGGCTCAACAATAATCGACGTTTTTTTGCTCTTTTGGGTTGGGAGTAGTGGGCGTCTGATGGGAAAGATGATTTTTATAGATAGACTTACGAACCGGATGTGGCAAGTTAGAACATTCCCACATATTTGAGATCGGGTGATGATGCTGAGTTCTGCTCCGCTTTCCATCACAGTTTACCCCTACCTGTAGCATGAATTATAAAATCCAAATGCGAATTATTCTTACTAACTAGAAACCGCATGTACCTATCTAAAAGGAGACTGTAGCGAAAGCAACGTGGACATCCCCTCTAGTGGGTCTTTTATCCAGCAGACGGATCAAGCGAAATAAAGCACGCGGTTAGATCAGCACTGCTAAATTCCGTCTACGCGTGAATTATTCGTGCTGTGTATATGCTTCCGCTTGCCCGCTATCACAACTTCCAGCTACCAAGCGAAAGTTCGCGGCCTCGATTGACTTTACTGTCGAACTTTCCAAACAGTGGTAAAAACAGCAGTACGTTTTTTCTCGCCTTTTTTTCAGCGCAGACTGACTGTAGTTTCAACATAATATCCCACATCAATCATTAAGGCCTCCCAACAACGAAAGTCAAACTTGAAGCCCAAGTACAAGTACAACCATTTGAGATCCCTTTTTGTTTTACATGTATACATTAGAAATAATCCCATTAGAAGTTATCCAGTTCGCTCACATTGTTTTTCCTGAATCATAGGAAAAGCGGTAAAGAATGGATACACGCTCGTCCTTTTGTTGCTTTTGTTATAATTCCCAGGAACTCCGAAAAAACAGGAAAACCAAACGACTGGTTATCATCCCATGATAAAATGTTAACAACAGCACTGTATGACCAACATCCACACAAATTCCCGACCCTGTTGCAGAACTTTGGGTGGTAATCAGAACAGACAGACAACGGGTTTTATTCTTTTTTCCATGAGAAGACGGTTGACTCAGCAGTTTTCATAATTTCGGGTGCTCAAATTTCGACAAAGACGGAACATGAAAAGCAGGCACTCAGTCAAAACACAAAGAAATGAGTGGAAAATTTGAGTGTAGTTTTTCANGGTAAGCAGAACAGACAGACAACGGGTTTTGTTTTTTTTCCATGAAAAGACGGTTGACTCAGCAGTTTTCATAACTTCGGGCGCTCAAATTTCGACAAAGACGGAACATAAAAAGCAGGCACACAGTCAAAACACAAAGAAATGAGTGGAAAAGTTGAGTGTGGTTTTTCACTCAGGAAACTTTGTCAACCTTCAAAGAATTGGATTATCCCACTGGAATAAATCACTCTTATTCATTAGGAAGTGTCTGAAGGATAAAAAGGAATACGCTACTGTTCGTGAATGCATACTGAACAGCTTTCAGATAATCATGCACCACTGGCCATGTGGTTACTCAAAATACAGTATCGTTTTGTATCCTGAGTCCTAGCTAACAAAATCGTTTAAGAAAATCTGCACTGGAAAACGTCTTGGTTGTTTCATCAGACGAAGAGAACTGATGACAACAAGTGTTCAAAGTTTCGAACGGAAGGGACAAACCGACCCCAGGGAAGATTGTTGTACTTATGTCGGTCGCTTCCCTGGCAATGCACTTGATGTTAATCTCCATAAGGACGAATCCACATTTATGCAAACGAGAGGTCTTAGGGCGACACCCAACCACCGGTGGTTGAATGCAAATCCCTGGCACCTAGAAATGTGTACGATGGCCTAAAGCAGCCAATAACTACCTAATGATGTGCGTTGTGTGAGAATATTCTAGTTCATTCCTTGCATATTTAAGTGTCTGCTGGGGTTGGTGCGAACCACCACATCAAGCAAATCTTACCATGCTTCTTTAGTGATGACTTACCGATGTTTTGCAATGCGCAAAGGCTGAGATGCTGTCATATGGGGTAAGCGATCAGAATGTCTTCGAGTGGGCTTGATCCACGAATTTATCAGTTGAAAGCCTGCTCCTTGGTCCGGGTGCGATTTCGAGCTCCGCAAATAAGTTCCATTCAACAAGATTGTTGTAGATGAGATAAATCACAAGAATTGCTTGCGTTTTCTCAGATAACAAGGTACAAAAAGCTTAACCTCAAATTGTAAGAACAAGGTAGCTGTTGTTGCACGAATGACTTCATAGAAACCAATGCGCAAATTCCCTGGGACGCTGCAGACATGACCATTGCGATCGTGCAGGTGACGAGCGTCTATATCTGATAAGTCCAATCATGAAGAACGATTTCATGAAAAAATGAGTAAGAGAGGAACTCCGGTGATTGATGTTGTTAACATACCAAGAAGGTTTAACCGGTTTCCGATTAAGTCATCAAAGACAGGTTAATGAAAAACAGTGGGTTACTCTGACAATCACTTGTGTGTTCTGTCTAAAATAAAAGCTGAGTTATTAGACGTGTCACGCTATCGATCTAAACCACACGATGATATAGTTTCACTGACGATGACCGGAACTAAGATAAGTATTTTGACGTACAAGATTTCATCAAACTGGTTTGCTCCGAACTATTCATTCCATCACA